GGTGGTAGAAAGAGTTGTACTGTATCTTTTGCAGACACTTCACCTTTTAACTCTACTCAGAATAAACAAGAGCACTCCTGTGGCTGTAATAAAACAACAGCTTAAATCTGGGTGCAGTGACTCATGCCTGTAATCCCAGTGCTTTGGGAGGCCAAGGTGGGAGGATTGCTTGAGCCCAGGCGTTTGACAGCTTGGGAAACAGAGTGAGACCCTGACTCAGAAAATAACAACAACAACAACTACTACTACAACAACAGCTTAAAACCATGGATAAATTTAAAATTAAGCACTTGTAATAATGGATATGAAAACAAAGCTACTATAAGGCATGATGGTAAACCTTTTGGATTAACCTGTGATGTGTATGTACCTGTTAAGACAATTAAAACCTAAAGAGTAATTTTCCAAATGCTAGGGCAACATTAAGGTTGGCATTCTGAGCCATAATGACATATACTATGTACAGGACTGATGGGCAATGAAAAGTTGAGAAGGTGATCTTCAGCAGAATTGAAAAAGCAAAACTGAACCATGCCAGGAATCAACAGTCCTGCAGAGCTATTGTGATCAGACTGCACCCAAGGACTGAATCAGAATTCTGGGCTGTATGTAGGTAGGCACTGCTTCAGTGAAAAATTCACAGACAGTATTCAAAGAACTAAAGGACAGACAGATAGAACTCACAAACCAAAGAACTTCAAAGAACACAAATTTTTTCTTCCCTACCAAGCCAGTTCACACAGGAAAGAGACATATTTAAAGTTAAATTGGATAAATGTGGATGATTCCAATTGTCCTAGCCTGAAATTTATACATATCTTCATTGTCTAAGTACAAAGAGTTCTTATTTAACGAAATGAATATACACTAGAGTTTCTATAAAACAAACTTTTTTCTATTTGAAGTTTTTCCTAATAATCCAGAAATATATTTTCATAGAAAACGTTCAGCAAGCTGACTTTAATACATTTTGGTAAAAAGAGGTTAAGAGCCGGGCACAGAAGCTCACGCCTACAATCCCAGCACTTTGGGAGGCTGAGGTGAGAGGATTGCCTGAGTCCATGGGTTTGAGACCAGCCTGGGCAAGTTGGCGAGATCTCATCTCTACAATAAATCAAAAAATTAGCTGGGCACGGTGGTGAGTACCTGTAGCTTCAGCTACTTGGAAGGCTGAGGCAGAAGGATTGCCTGAACCCAGCAGGTTGAGGCTGAGGTGGCTGTGAGCATGCCACTGCACTCCAGCCTGGGTGACAGAGTGAGATTCCAACTCAAAAAAAAAAAAAAAAGAGGTTAAGATATAAGCTATTCCTATGGAATGCTGAGCACTGTACCCTATCATCTAACAGTTCCACTTTCCATATGAAAATTTTTATATAAATCTCTCACAGATTGCCCTACTCTTCCTTTTAAATGCCGTGTCTTATACTAGTTTGAAAGAATTTAAAGTTACATTAAAAAAATTAGTAATATTTTAATTTTTTATATTGTAAGTAAAAAATGACTATCATTGTTTCCCTTTTTCTTATTCTAGGATGTGTCATATTAATGTAATACAGTTTAGGTATGGTATTATGCAGATTATTTTTAACAAACCTGCCCTCTGTATGCCTACTGACTGGTATAAAATTGGAGTTGGAATATTTCTATTTTCTTTAGAAGTTATCTTTTCCAGTAACCTGGCCAAGTCTTTGTGGTTTGTTAGTGCCAATTACCTGATTATCTAAGGATTTGTTTCAAGGTCTTGGGTTCCTATAATAGAGTCCATATATATCCTACATCACTGGCTCTGGATGGTGAGACAAAAATGGAAAAACATATACAACATATTGAATCAGGTATGATTATATGATATATATTTACGATTGTAAAATAGAAAAGTAGTGTGATTGACATACAGAGTTGTGGGGGACTGTGAGGAGGAACTGCAAGAGATAAGGTGGAGAGGTGAACTAGGACTTTATCTCAATAAGCGAGACATGGACCATTTCTCAAAAGCCAAGGAAAGCCACTAAGGTTCATGTTTTAGAAAGACCACTGTGGTAGGTTTTTCAAGGACAGCTTATAAATAACTGCAGTAGTCAGGCAAAAAATGATGGCCTGAACATCAGAGGATAGAGAGAAGGGACAGTGAAGAGAAGAGGGGGATAACAGTAAGGAAAAAGTAACTGAGAAAGAGAACATGGGATGAGGAGTAGATCTGGAGAGGACATGGGGTTTCAGTTTTAGAGGTCATTGTAAGGTACTCAGATATGAAGACGTCACGTTCAGGAGAAGTGATTGAGAGCACATAACAGCATTTATATTAGTCCCCCTTATCTGTGGTTTTGTTTCCAATAGCTTCAGTTACCCATAGTACAATACCACAAGATATTCTGAGAGAGAAACATTCACATACCTTTTATTGTAGTATGTTGTTTTAATTATTCTACTTTATTACTGATATTGTTAATCTCTTACTGTGCCTAATTTATAAGCTAAACTTTGTCATGGGTATGTATGTATAGAAAAAACACAGTGCACATAGGATTGGGTACTATCTGCTGTTTCAGGCATCTGCTGGAGGTCTTAACATGTATCCCTCATGGACAAGAGAAGACTACAATAAATAGAGTGAGAAGAGAACCTAGAATGGGACCCTGAGAATTACCAACATATAGAGGATGAACAGAAGAAAAGTTTATAAAGGGACCTGGAAGAATGGTCAGAGAAGTAGGAGCAAAGCCAGGAAGAAACAGTGTAAAGGAAGCCATGAAAGGTGTGGTCCTAGAAGTAGTTTGCAGTATCAAATGCAGTTTCAGGGGTGTGAGGCCAAAGATCAGATTATAACAGTGGGTTAAGGAAGTCCAGGTAAGGAAGTGGAGAGATCCAAAGGTAGACAACTCAATAAGTTTGGCTGGGAAATGAAAATAGAGACAGGTAGTAACTGGAGGAAATGTGAGGTTTCAGAAGCTACATATGTATGCATTTATAGATAAGAGAGATTTAGGTACCCTTAGTTGTTAAAGAAAAGACACGACAGAGAGGTGGGGGTTAAAAATATAGGCCAAATAGAATAGGTAATAGAATGAAGTCCCTGAGGTCCCCAGGTAGAAGGCAAGTGTGATCCACAGCAGTTAGTGCATTAATTTTCAGTTCATATGAAAAGCGAAAAGGTTGGGTGTGGAAGAAGAGATTATGTTCAGTGTTGCAGAGGGCAACTGACAAATTGTTAAGAACCAGGCCCTTTGCTAAGTTCTAGGGTATACTGGCAAGCAAACAAACACTGTCTCTGCCTGCATGGAGCTCTTTCAAAGGAATGTGCATAGCCTTTTTTTTTGGTATGTAGAGTCAAAGACTACTTCTAAACTCGCTTACTATTCAAGGGGAAAAGTACTCCTCTGTCTAGACTCATAATCTACAAAGTGGGAACAATCACTAAGCTTTGGTAAAAAGAATTGCCAAGTGACAGAGAAAAAAGCAATAGCTTCCACTGATATAGTGAAAGGACAAAACATGCCCTTTACTGGGAATAAAAGATTCCAAAAATTAGTTAAATTTAAAGGAAAAAAATCAGAAAACAGGTATACACAGTCTTTTGATCCTCAGATGTTTATGGTAGACATCACTAAAAATATCTATATCTTCCATATCCATATTTCATAAATTTGTGATATTTTATAAATTTAAATAGTAGGAAAAAGTCAAGAAGGAGTCAAGTGGACCTCTAGTCCTATCTGAAAGACATGGAATTCAAGCATTCCTCCAATATTTGGAACTTGCTGCCCCTACCAATGCAAGATATTATAAAGGTAGGATGTAAATGTTGGCATTAACAAATAACAGCAGCTATCCTTTTAAAGTATTTATTGTGTATTACGGCTAATAATAATTTACCTCTATTCATTCCTCTAATCTTAACTAAAACCTTAGAAGGTAATGAGGCAGGTAGAATAATGGTCACCCCAAAATGTCCTTATTCTAATTTCCAGAATCTGCGGAACATATTAACTTATAGTACAATAAGGAGTTTGCAGATATGATTACAGATCTTGAGATGGATTATCTTGGACTATCAAGGTAGGCCTAATATAATCACAAGGGTTCCCATAAGTGAAAGAGGAAGGCAGGATGGGTGAGTGTTAGTGATGTGGGGACGCTACATTGCTGGCCTTGAAAATGAAGGAAGAGGCCACGAGTCAAGAAATAGAGGTGGTATCAAGAAGCTGGAAAAGGCAAGAGAACATATTCTCCCCAAACTCTCAAAAAAGAATGCAGCCTTCCTGACAACTTGATCTTAGCTCAGTGAAACAGTCCAGGCTTCCGACCTCCAGAACTTTAAGAGAATACATCTGTGTTAAGTCACTAAATTTATGGAATATATTACAGCAGCCATAGGAAACAAGGACCCCCAAAAGGTCCTTGTACAAGCATGTGTACACGTGTGCATATGCATATATGCACACACACACAGACACTTTCAAATATAATGTTAATATTTTTATTACAATTCACATGAACTGGCTGCTTTAGAAACTAAGCCTAATTATTTTCACATTATTATTCCACTGAAGCATTCCAGACAGCAAGTCAATATTAAGACTACATATACACAAGTCGTTAATGACTCTGTACTTGACCCTGTGTTCTGTACCAGATATACCAAGATAATATAGTTCTTGATCTCATAATAGGGTTCCAATCTATTATGGAGAGGCATCTAACCTACACAAGTACAATCATACATTATAAATGCCAAAATGCCAAAATGTCCAAAAATAAATGCGGAGTGAGCATTCCTTCAAGGATATCAGAAAGGGCTTCATAAAGGAGGTGACCCTTCAGGTGAGAAATTTTTTTAGTAAAAGTACTTTACTTCTGGCAAAGTTTTCTTGAATAATGAAAGATACTCTAGTCACTGCCAAATAGTAATAACATCTTGGTTGTAATATATAGCATCTATTTTTACCTATTTATCATGCAGATAATTTCACAGAAATATTTGTAGAGTGAAGTTTACTTACTGTTATCTTACGAGGACAGTCATTAGAACATAGACCACTAAGAACTGTGAAAAAATAAAGAATAGGTCATTATTACTGTTATAATGTAAGCTTATATCCAAAGTGTGCTCTCATTGTCCCCCTAGAATCTAGTAATATGCTCTACTGATTCATGATCACAAGCAGAAACCAACTCAATTTCTTCAGATTTGAGCAAATAAAGTTGTTGTTTACTTTATACTAATATTTCAAAAGTCTTTATTAAGCTGTCAAGCTGCTGCCATTTTGTCAACTATGTAGGTGAGATAATTAATTATGGTTACAGCATACCTTACCTATGTTGGTTCAGTTTTCTAACTGTTAGCCTAATTCCAAATATGACTTAGAATGTGACAGAAGGGTGCCAAATGCAAACCAATTAAAATGTATACTAAGAAAAACAAAGGACATTCAGCACATTATATCTCAAATTAGACATTTTCCATTTATCTAGTCAAAGTTTCTAGGTCAAAGATTGTGGGCATTCTTGATAATTATTATGGAGAGCATAACTATAAAATAATTGATGAGTCTACAACAAATGTATAAAAATAATCTAATACATTTCTATACTCATCCAAAAAGAGAAAAGATTAGAATATCTGAAAAATCTTTACATAAATAATGAGTTTTGAAACTTAACTATACTTCTTCCACTTCTGTTGAAGTGATACCTTTGTTAAGAGACCAGACATTGTGCTATTCATTATTTTATGTTTATAAATAAAAGACAGCTGACAATTCTGCTTAGTAAGCACAAACTACTTCAATAATTATAAATATTTGTCCATAGATTAAAATATATCCATAGGAAAATGGTTTCTTATGTTTATTAATATTACATGAATGTGAAACTACAATCATTCTAAAAGAAATATTATATTTAGGCAGTGTGTTAAGATCTGAATGTTAGTATTCTCTCAAAATTCATATGTTGGAACTTAATACCCAATGTGACAGCCTTTGGAAAGTGAATAAATAAGTCATGAGGGTTCCACCCTCCTGAATGGGATTAATGTTCTGGTAAAAGAGGCTCCAGTGAGTTCCCTTGTCCACTTCTGTTGTGTGAGGACACAGTCACAAGGTACCATCTTTGAAGCAGAGAGCAAGACCTTACCAGACACCAAATATGCTGATGCCTTGATCTTGGAGCTCCCAGCCTTCAGAACTGAGATGGAAAGGTGTTGTTTATAAATTACCCTAAGGTATTTTGTCAGAGTAGCCTAAATGGACTAAGACACAGAGTAGGTAAGGTACAAAGGCATAACATTTCATCACAAAGAAGGATACATGTTCACTTACTATAGTATGTTTACATTAAATACACCTTGAGGAAAGTCAAATATTTATACCTGCAGAATAGTTTTCAATGCTTAAATTTCCCTCCCTAGCACAGTATCTGGTGCTCACTCTTATTCTGAAAGTTTCCATGCTCTAAGTTCTCCCTTTCCTTTGTTCCTCTTCCCTCAACTCTAGGTAGACATTGATACATCTTTTCCAATTATCCCAAAATGGTTTCCATACTCCTTTATTTATTTAAATACAGGTTCTTGCTCTGCTACCCAGGATAGAGTGGTGCAATAATAGCTCACTGTTACCTCAAACTCCTGGGCTTAAGTCATCCTCTTGTCTATGATCTTGCTGAACAGTAATTATTTAAGCAAAAGTCTATTTTTGTTCACAGATGTTAGTTCTGTATCATTTTATCCTTATTTTTTCAGGGTCTAACCCAACATATTTGCTCAATAAATATTTGTCAAAGGAGAAAAAAGATGGATTATTCAGTAAATGGCACCAGATAACTGTCTACTTGGAGGAAAGTAAAGTTAGGGTTTACTTTCCTCACAACATACAGCTTACATTTAGCAAAGACATAATAATAAAAGGACTCTTATACCTCAATAATAAAAATATAACTCAAAAATAGGCAAATGATCTGAACAGATGATTTCTCCAAAGATGGTACACAATAAGCTCATGAAAATATTCTTAACATAATTAGCCATCAGAGAAATACATATTAAAATCATTATGAGATATACACCCATGTTCATGCCAGAATCATTCACAATAGTCAAGAGGTGGAAATAACCCAATTGTCTATTGATGGATGAATGAATGTGGTAAATACATACAATCAAATATTATTCAGCCTCAAAAGAAAGGAAATCCTGTCATGTTACAATACTGAACCTTGAAGACATTATGTTAACTGAAATGAATGGGTCACACAAAGACAAATATTGTATGAGTCCACTTATGAGGTATGTAAGTTGTCAAATATTCACAGAGACAGAAAGCAGAATGATGGTTACCGGGGGCTGCAGTGGACTGTGTGACAGAGTGAGGTTTCAACTCAAAAAAATTATGTTGCGCCCATACTATGGTGGTACTAATCAGTATTAAAATAAGAAGCTCTAGATCACACATATTTGCTCGTATATGCATAAAATATGTTGGAAAGATGCAAAGAGGTTGTCTCTGGGAGGAGAACTGAATCACTGGAGATGAAAGAGAGAGACTCACTTTCACCATAATATACTCTTCACTTTTTTTTACTATTTTTATACATTACTTATTTTTAAAAAATAATAAAATTAAAATTTAGACCTCTCTAAATTAGGATGTGATAAACTGGATAATGTCATATCCTGGTCAAAATATTAATCCCTATAACTTTTAGGGAAGCTAATGTTGATTAACATTAACAGGGGTCTCTTCAACTCAATGTCATATCTATGGAATATTGCTAGAAACTACCTTAATATCCACCAAGAAGGAAAAAGCTAAATACATTGTAGAACATTATGGAATGATACAGAGCTATTAAGAGAATGAGGGAGGCCTGTAAGTGCTCACTTGAAAGGGGGTTTATACGCTTTTGTTACGATAAAACACCGAGATGCAGGCAAATATGTCTAATAAAATTCTATTTTAAAACTTATGTGTTGGCTGAATCTCACAGACATAGTGTTGAGTAAAAGAAGCCAGCCACAAAGAACACATACTGTAGGATTTCACTGATATCATGTTCAGAAGCAGGTGCCCTAAGCATACCTTGCTCTATGCATCTTTTCCATCTGGATGTTCACCTGTGTATCTTTTCTAATATCCTCTATAATAAACGGGTAAATATAAGTAAAGTACTTCCCTAAGTTCTGAGAGCTGTTCTAGCAAATTAAGCACCCAAAGAGGGTATCAAAGGAACCCCATTTTATAATCAATAAGTCAGAAGTACAGGTCATAACCTGGGATTGATGATTGACATCTGAAGTGGGGGCAGTCTTGTGGGACTGAGCCCTCAGCTTATGAGATCTGACATAATATGTCCAGGTAGGTAGTGTCATCCTGATTGGCTGGTGTTTGGGGGAGGGGGAAATCTCCACACATTTTGGTTATCGCAGGTAAGTAAGTATTTTGTGTTGTAGTGACTGAGAATAGAGAGACAAAAGTTTGGTTTTGTCCTACTCTTATAGTATCACACTGATATGGATTGAATGAACCTCCTCAAAAACCATATGTTAAAGCCTCATGTGTGACTGTTTTTAGAGACAGGGCCTCTAAGGAGATGTAGGGTGGGGTCTTGATCTGACAGGATGAGTATCTTCTTCTCAGAGAGCTTGCTGTTTCTCTCCACATGTACATATACAAAGAAGAAAACATGGCTAGGCATGGTGGCTCATACCTAAAATTCCAGCACTTAGGGAGGCAAAGTGGGGAGGATCAATTGAGGCCAAGAATTTGAGACTAGCCTGGACAACACAGTAAGATTCCCATATCTAAAAATAATAAAAAAAAAGAGAACATGTGAGCACACATTGAGATGGTGGCTATGTATAAGCCAAGAGATGAGGCCTTAGAGTGAAATCTACCTTCTTAGCCCTTTGATCTTCAACTTCCTAGCCTTCAAAGCAGTGAGAAATAAATTTGTTTTTTTTAAGTTTTCAAATGAAGTTTATTAGAGAAGGAAAAAAGGAGAGATAGACTTGCCAAAACCTGTGGGGGCAAGAGAAACCACCAAATTTCCGTTGTTGAAAAGACCCAGTCTGTGGTATTTTGTTGTGGAATATACACACAAACTTTTTTTTAATTATATAAATGTAATCATACTACACACTGTTTTGTAATTTGTTTTATGAGGGAGATTAACGTAACCCAAATTCTCCTCACATAATTAAATACATTTCTACCACATAATTGCATGGTATTCCTCTGTGTGTGTGTGTATGTGTGTACGAGGGGGGACCCCCCAAAAAACCCAGAATTTATTAAAATTAAAATTAAGTGTGTATTTATTCTTACATGTTTAAACTTCAGTCACCTTCAAAGTACTCTCCATTTGATGAAATACTCCTATGGAGACACTTTTTCCACTGCAGTTTTTGAACTTGTCAATTTTGATGTCTTCTACCAGTGCTTTTAGTGCTTTTTTGATTTTTGTTTCACTTCTTCCCCATCACAAAGATTTGAGAACTTTTTTCATCCAGGAAACAACAGAAAAATGCTTGGGGTGAGATTGGGTAAATAGGGATGGTGGGGCAGGGGTTCATGTCGTTTTTGGTGAAAAACTGCTGAACACTCAGCAAGGTTTGGGCAGGTGCGCTCATAAATCACCCAGTATGAAATGGGCAAATGCGTTAATCTCCCCCCCCAATTTTTTTTTAACTGAAGCTGAATGCAGCCTCTCAGAATGCTAGCTGGCCCACTGATGCCAATGGGTTCCTAGAACACTTACCTAGCGGGGGAAGCCTGTAGTACATGGGACCTGTCCTCCAAAAGGTAATTCTGGGGTTTTTTTTTGTGACTTCTGGGCTCTCCTTGCTAAGTGTGTTTGACATAAGGTAGAAAAATGAGTATGTCTTTAGCCACTCTATGTAATGACACTGCTTTTGTTAAGGAGTGCTAGAGAAGAAAGAACTGTATTGGCTTTACCACCAAAATTCTCTGTGATCTACCCATTAGTTTTCCTGTAAGAAAAATGGGCATATCCACTCATATGCTTTACTTCTATCTTCTTCACCTCTTG